GTTGTAACTGGAGAAACCAGGCTGGCAGTAGCACTGATGAAAAGGATCTTGAGGTTTTGGTGGATCCAAACTTAAAATGAGCAATCAATGACACAGTTACAAAAAAAATGTAATTTTTATCTGGACTAACAGGAGAATAGCATGTGAGGCTGGAAACAGAGATCATCTATGGAGCACATGTTCAGCTATGCTGCAGTAGGTTGCAGCACAACTCGTAGCACTCCACAGATGTCTACAGACATTGCCGGATGCTGAGTCCTGACATGAGGTGCATTGAAAACACACCCAGCCTGTCATGGAGGCACATCTACAAGCACAAAGGGTAACATTCCCATCAGGGCTCCCCCTGCCCCACCTACAGATGACCCCCTCCCCACGTCAGGGTGCAGAAACATACACTGGGGCAATCCCTCTGCAGCTGGTTTCTCCAGTGCACATCTGCAGGCACAGAACGAGAAACTCCCTTAGGGGTTCCCCATTCCATGTTTGCAGCCCATGCCCTGCATTGCTGCCATAAATGTGTGCCACGAGAATCCCTCTGCAGGTAATTTCCCCAGCACATGTAGAATTGCTGCGCTCCAACATGGGAGCTACAGAGCTCCCACTTGTGGTCATTTACCCCAAGTCAAGGTGAAGCCCCAAAGTTCTCTGCATCCCTGGAGATGCCAAGGATACATCTAGGTAAGCAGGAGGCCCCATCTTTCCTCACTGACCCAGATGCACCCCCAGAAATCCCAGGGATGTGTCTGGGTCAGAGGGGAAAATGTGGCAGGAGCTCCCAAGGCTTGAGGGGTCTGATCCGGCCTTGGAATTCCTGGAATGCCCAAGACAGGGCTCCTCGAGCCTGCGGAGCCCCTGCCTGTGGCAGCTGGAGAGTACAGGGAGCTTCAGGCTATCTGCGTTCTTTTGCCATAAGCAAACAGATATCATATATAACTTATCACTACCTTCCATCATGGCCACAAATTTGAATATTAGGAGTCACAGATAGAAGAGCAGCCCCTCGTTGTAACTTGTGGTGCTTTGTAGGAAGTGCCATGAGTTACAGCAATCCCCCAGACCCGACAGGAATTCACTGTTGGGTCCGGGTGGTTGGGATCCAGATGCTGGCGGGAATCCAACCGCTGTTTAGAGCTGCTGAAAGCCTGTAGCCATGCCCCTAGCAACAACCCTCCCCACTCCCAGCCCTGGCACTGTTTTCAGAATGGGAGTGGGGAAAGGGAGTGGAAGGAGCTCATTCTGGGGATTCCTCAGCTAGCACTGGAGGATGGGCTGAGTGGAATGGAACCACTGAAAACCCAGAACAAAATTCCTCTGCTTCCTTTCCCCCCTCTCATTCTGAAAACAGCACTGGGGCTAGGAGGTGGCACAGACACTCTACTTTGGAGCATCTTTATGCAATGAGGGTTCAGATTTTTGGAGGATCGGGCCCTCTTAAAGTGCTCTGCAGCTGTGCACTTCTGTTCGGTCATGCCTGTACAGTGCTTTCAGTGGCCAGATCAGGCAAAAACTGTCACTTCTGTCTGACCCTTGTGATGTGACAGAAGGTAGGGATGTTTCTTTTCTTTTGCTCTGTGCTGCCATAAAAATGTTTGTGCTGACACAAAGGTGATGTCTATTTTTACCCTGAAACACAAGAATTAATAGCATCAACCTACTTTGTACTAGTTAGGCCTCAGCTAGAGTAATGTGTGTAGTTCTGGAACTTCTGTATGGTTTGCACTTAAATTGACCTAACTAGGGATCTGTGTGTCAGGTCTGCACCTGGGCAAACTAAGTTAGATTGGGTGGCCATCTTTAACACAAGCTAACCTTCTCCAACCCCCAAACTTCTGGGTGGTTATTTTTAATGCAATCTAACTTCCCGCAGCCCCTCCTAAATGTCTATACTCTTCTCCCCCAAATAGTATATCCTGCTCTTTGAGACCTCTTCTACCCCTAAGACCTCTTCTACCCCTAAGATTCTATATTGCAGTGGAGAAAAACTGCAATCCTTATTGTCAAAGATAGCAGAAAGGTCAAGGGGAAAATGAGTATAAGAGAACAAGGGTGATATAAGGAAGCATTTCTGATTATGTAATTGCTTTCTCTATTTGAAATTAAACATGGGACTTCAGTCACAAAGATTTTCAATCTAATTTACACCATGATCATTAAACTCACATAAAAATTACCAAGATATTTCCTTAGTCTCTGAAAATAATATTAAATCTAATACAAGGATTACAGTGCACAAAGTGATAGGAACACCTTGAGAAAGGTTTTTCTGTTCAGGCAATGGTCACCGTTAGAACATTCTTTGTGTAACTAACCTGATTGTACAAATGACTAAAATCAGTTAAGACCCATTCACAAATATAAATAGTGTTATTTCCAAGTCTTGGAAAGCCAGTATAATTGGGAAAGATTTTAAAGAGATAGCAGGTTTAATCATGCAAAGTGCAGTATAAGAGCACAACTATCTCCAAATATGGCTTAGCATCTTGCAGGATCAAATCCATAATTCAGAAAATATATACTTGTGGAAAAAAGTAAGAATGATGTGATCTGGATTCAATTTTTTTGAGATACAAACCCTTCAGCCATGAAACACTATTTGAAATCAATGGGATTTTGTATATGGATAACTTTAAAGATCAGAGGCTTTGTATATTATTCATGTCATCAGAGCAGAGCTAATGCCTCATTAAAGGTGAACAACCTGGCATAGAATTTGAAATGATAATTGGTGAATCAATAAATGGTCTCAACAGAAGTCATCTCAGGTCTTCATAAAACCAGTTCCCACATTTCTCATTACATGAACTGCTTCAAAGACTTTTACCTTTAAAAATTAAAGCATAAAGACCAAAGTAGTTCTAAAAACACCATAAACTAGGTGCCGTTTAAAATAGGGACATATGTTTTATACATAAGAAACAGAATTAAATGCTGACAGTATTATCTAAAACAGAAAATGGATATTAATATCATATCAGTATCAACAAACCATATCAATCAAATGGTCATGTTTTATAACAGAAGTAAGGTAACAATGTGAATTTAAGTCATGCCTGTAAACTGCACTTTGATTTGGAAAGTTAAACACAAGGAAATATGCATTAGTGGAATGTAGCTTCATATTTACAGGATAAGACAGGTCAAGTACAACTATGGACGTGCATCACTCAAGCCAATTAATCACTGTTATCATTAAGGAAGGATGTGCTTGCTGAAGGCTGAAACAGAAAATGTCCTAATTCATAGAATTTTTGGAGTAAATATTTTGCCTTTTTAAGAGCTTCAGACTGCAATTAAATGCTTAAAATGAATAATGTATATGTCTATTCCTTGTATTTAAGCTTTGGCTCCATGGTATGAAACCTTTTTTATTATAGTTTCATAATTATTTGTCCATTCCTCTCTATTTAACTGGGTGCTGGTACATGCTCAGGGCTCCTCCAAACCATCTACTCTGCCAATTTGTGAGCTTAGCTTTACATGAGCAGGTGTGAATGGGCAGGGCTAATTTCTCAGCAGCCTGCCCAAGATCACCCAGAAGTCTGTTTAACCATTACAACTGTGCTGCAAGTTCTTCTCCAGTCAGTAGTCTCTGTGACTCCTGTCAAATATATCCATTAATTTTCTTCTTCTGTATTGTTAATGACTACAATAAATTCTACAAATCCCAATTTTGACCTCTTGTGCCACCCTAACTTCATAAAATCACTGCTTGCTCTCTAGCATGGAACAGAAAAAATAAACATTTGTGAAAATAAATATACTAATATTAGACTTATAAAGCTTCCTTTTAAAATAATTAAAACACTGATCTAAAACTAGTATTATTACAATTATTTAGATTATGATACTGCACCATATTTCTTAAGTGGACAGCCAGAAATGCACTGTATTGAAGCATATAAAATCTAACCGCCTTCCCTTTACCTAAAAATCATTTGACTTTTAATAATTAGAATAACTTTTTTTTCCTTTTTTAAAATTTGCCTGGTTTTCACATACTTGCATGTGGAAACAAAGGTTATGCTTGGTCAAGTCACTTTAATCCTGATCTGCTGCAGTTCCATTCTGTCTCTCCCGCACATGCATTATTCTAACTTTCCGATTGCCATGTAGCAATGCTTATTTGATAAGGGAACAAGAAATGTCCTTGGTCTGATAGCCTAAGCACATTTAATTTGATACATAAGAATGAACTGAGGTGGCAAAACAGGGCTATATTTCTACATTACTTGCTCTCCAATTTTGGAAAAGTGACAATTGCCTTCAAATCCAGACTTTAATTCATTAGTCTCTGGCTTCCTTTGAATATATAAAGCTCTCCTGTTATGAATACTGATACTTATAGCTAAAGGTATTCTTTGCTATATGGTTATATATCCTTTTTATTGGTACAATTCTAATCCAAATTAGTGGAATGTGCAAGTCTATGAATATTCAATATAGAATCTTTTAAAAGGAACAAAACTGCTATTTTTTAAAATTTTCACAAAATAATCACACACATAATAAAGGAAATAATGAGGTGTAATTTTTGACTTTGTAAAATATGGGCTAAACCTGTTTCTCCTAAAATCAAAACCAAAATTCCAATTGCTTTCAATGGAAGCAAAGTTGGGCTTTAAGAAAGATCCATGGGGTGAATGAAGGTATTCAAGAATCCCATTAGGAAGCAATCATGTTACCTGCAGGGTGGGATACGCTGATTCGTTTGAGGGTCGCATTTTGGTACCAATATTGTACAGGCAAAAAACATAAGATACTTGTAGCAGTTGGTCTGAACCAAGGCTGGGAAAAGGGAAGATTCCCAGCTGATAGATGCTTCCTTCTGAGTCCTATGGCCCAAGTAGTTTGGGTAACTAGTGTAGTTGTATGGCAGGTTCATGCAGAGTTCCAGGGTAATTGGCTCACATAGACCTTGTGAAAGAAAAGAACATACATTTTGTAAAGTTAGATGAAACAGAACAAAATAATTACAAGCTTCTCATCATTTAAACTGGAAATACTTTCTCTGGCTTACTAAAGTAGGTCTTGCTTTACATCAGGAATAGTGTCAGAGATCTTGTGCAGTGTTATAAAAGTGGCACAAGCTTCTCTAACCTCTAAAAAAAGGTGCAGTTAAAGAAGACTATGCATCCCAGAACACAATTCTTCAAATGACAGTCTTCATGCATGCAAAGAAAAGAGGCATTGATCGCTACAGTTAGTCAAGTATTCACATACTATATATTCATGTTTAACAACCTCTTCTGTATCCTAACTTCCTGACATTCATTTTGAAAAGGTTACAAATGAGATTATACAGATCACCTTTATTATTTTTGGCTAAAATATCATTTAAAAACACAGAAGTTACTGCACAGAACTATCAAAATACAG